ATATGTTCAGTGTTTTTGCTTTTCGTTTTTTTAGCTTTTTGATTTTACCTTTGGTTTTCTGAGCTGATTGAGTACACGTAGCTACGAGTTCGTGAAGTGGAGCAGCAATTTGACCATATTTCTCAACAAATCGTCTGTAATATCCACTGAACCCCAGAAATCTTTGGAGCAGTGCTAATGTTGTAGGAGTTTTCCACTCCTTCACAACTTGAATTTTACTTGGATCTGGAGACACACCCTTTTCGGAAACAATGTGACCAAGAAATGAGATTTCTGTTTTGAAAAGGTGACATTTTTCCAGTTCAATTTTCAGACCATGATCTCTTAACTTATGTAAGACTGTTTCAAGTCGTGATATGTGATCCTCAATAGAGTTTGAGTATATGATTATGTCATCCAAGTAAACTAGGCATGTATTGAATATTTGGTCTTGTAAGGCATAATGCATCAATCTTTGAAATGTTGCTGGACTGTTTGTTAGACCAAATGGCATTCGTTCAAATTCATACAACCCAATTGGAGTTGTGAATGCAGTTTTGTGTTTATCTTCTTCACACATTTCAACTTGGTAATAAGCTGATTTCAAGTCTATTGTACTGAAATACTTTGCTCCATTCAAACTATCTATGGATTCTTCAATCCTTGGAATAGGATATGAATCTTTGATGGTTTTTGAATTCAGTTTTCTGTAATCGACACACATTCTGATCTGACCATTTTTCTTTCTACAAATGACAATTGGACTGGCATATTCACTGTTGGAATGTCTGATTATACCTTTTTGTAAAAGATCTTGTATGTGTTCTTTGAACTCAGAAAATTCTTGAGGTGGAATTCTTCTGTAAGGTTCTTTTACAGGAATACTATCTGTAAGAGATATGTGATGTTTTATATCATTTGTTTTTGAGAGTTCATTTTGGGAAAATGTGTATATTTCATGATATCTATCTAACACATCTTTGCATTTGGCTTTTTGTTGTTCATTACCAGGAAAACTGTCTAAGTTAACACTCATTTGTGGCATGTCATTTTGATTGATTGTGTTTGTTGATTTATTTGTGTTGCTGATCATTTCAGGCTTTATGTCACTTACAACATCCACCATAATCTCATTGGATTGACATTCAATTGTTGCATGTTGATTAACTATCATTGCATCTTGCAGAGTGCCTATCACCTGTTTTGATTGTAACTGGATATCATGTATACCTATGTTGTTCACAGTTAATGTACATTGCCCTTTAGATGCACCAATGAGCATATTTGTGATTTGAAGATTGGATATTAGTTTTGACTTGCTTCAAAAACACTAACTTTTGACAACTTTTTGCTGGTTACCTTGACTTCTGTTTGTGAAGTGGCATGAATGACAGTATCTTGATCAACTCTAACCATACAAGATTTTTGGCTATCATTGTTTGTATTTACACAACCAAGCAGAAAGTGAAATTCTGGTAGCTGTTTTAATACATTTGTTCCAATGATAATTTGAACATTGTGTGGGTCAGTGCGGACTTTTTTCCTAACCAAAATGCCTGTGTTTTTGCACCTATGATTGTGTATTTCAATATCTAACATTGCTATCCCCAAGTATGGTACCTCAAGACCATTAGCAGCAGTTATATTCAACCATGATGGGTCACCGTCAAAATTTTCACTGTTTGAAATCAAATCATAAAATTCTTCATTCATAATTGTAACACTTGAACCAGTATCAACCAAACCTGTACAAGTTACATTGTTGATTTTTACTTGTGTGAGTGGTTTATCACCAACTGTGTTTGACAAGATATGTTCTTTTTGGTTTTCATTTGTGTGGGTGTTTGCTTCATACACCTCTGTGTTTAAATGTTGATTTGACCTTGGAAATTTACCCCGTGGTCTGGGACCTCTGGGTGGTTGATTGAAATGTTGATGTGGTGGTGGTTGTGCAAACATTGGTGGAGGAACCATGTGTGGTGGTTGTACAAACATTGGTGGTTGAACCATGCGTGGTGGTTGTGAGTTGTTTTGATAACTTTGATTTTGAACAATCATTTGAGTGTGTTTTGTAATATCTAACACCTCCTTCATTGTACTACACATTTCACTGATTGATTTTGTCATTGTAGCAACTGATGAAGTTAAATTCATTATACATTTTTCATTGCTATTTGGAATTTCTTGAGACCCTGATTTAGACTCTTCAGTGATTATTGAGTATGTTACATCACTTGAAAATTCTGAGTCTACTGTTTGTATAGATTCCATATAGGATATTGCCCTTTGACGGAGATCTATGAAAGAAATTGAAGGATGAAGCTCAAGGAAACTCTTAAGTTCCCATTTGAGATGTCTGTTGTGAATACCTTCAATGTATTGTGAAACTAACATAGAATCACGGGACCTTTTTAGATCAGGTTTCAATTTTTCCATCTTATTGAATATTTTGACAAGTTCAAGTGAGTATTTTGTGATATCTTCACTTGGGTTTTGTTTTCTTGTATAAAACGATCTAGTCAACTCAGCTAATGTCGGAGTTTTGCCAAAAATTTCTCTGAGAGCATTAAAAATTTCCTTGGGAGTTTTTGGATTTCTAAGTTTTATTTCAACTTTAGCGTCTCCAGTAAGGTGACTAATGAGAAATTGAACTGCTTCTTTATCAGAATCTCTTTGAATAGCTGATTTGGCTTGATCAATCCACTCTTCGAGTGGTGTAGATTCACCAGAGTAGTTTTTCAAACATCTTTCAGGTGATGGAACTACTGTGATTTCAGGTTGTGAAATTGTGCTTATGATTTTTTCATTGTGTAATTGCATGAGTTTGAAAAATTCTTGGGGATTAAAAGATTTCGATTCTTCAGAATCTGACTTTTGATCACTTGAAGTTGCCATGATTTGACTGGTTTGACCTAACGATTGTTGTCACTATGACATTAAAAATTGATCTAAACTTACGCAATCTAGTTAAACACTTAACACTGGGGATTTACACTTTGAATTTGTTTTAAATATGGCTTTAGTCTCAATGGAACTTTGAACTTACATATTTATGCTGATATGGACACCACACTTGGCTACGGTGACGACTGTTCCTTTCTTTGGGTGGCTTATAGAACGAACGCAGTTGCAGTTCACATATAATACGAAATATATGAAGTTGACATCACACTTGGCTACGATGACGACTACGATGACAACTATGCTGACGACTACGCAGACGATTACGCTGACGACCACGCTGACGATTACGCTGACGATTACGCTGATGACTACGCTGACGACCACGCTGATGATTACGCTGATGACTACGCTGACGACCACGCTGATGACTACGTTGTTGATTACGCTGATAACTACGCTGATGATTACGCTGATGATTACGCTGTTGATTACGCTGTTGATTACGCTGTTGATTACGCCGACGACCAGATTGTAGATTACGCTGTTGTCTGCATTTGCACCCAATGTTCAATGTTCAACCCGCAGTACGATTTGTAGCACACTTGGAAGGTGGACGTATGTGCGTATAGATCAATAACACGTATTGTAGGTTTAAAATTGTCTTTATTGTTAAATATACCAATGTGCAGTTGATAACTGCACATTGGTATTTTATGTTGGCAGCTTTACATGTTCATCTCACACTGTTTTTGTTGTAACTCCTACTGCAGCAAAACTTTGTATCAAAATGTTGGGACTGATTGAAATAAATCTAGGTGTAGCTTTTATATTGGAAATCAAGTTTTACACTCATGCTAAAAGGAATATGTCCCTTTAGGAGCTCACAAATTATGATTGGTTTATATTCAAATACAAATTATTACAAACTTGTCATTGGCTGAAATTGTGCAAATTGAACACAATGTAATGCCTGGGTCACATATGCTCCGATCCATCGGCCGGCGCCCGCCCGATTGAGTGTTTTGTTCAATATTGTATTCAATTTTGAACAAAATACTCAATCGGCCGGGCGCCGGATTGAAAATCGGAGCATATGTGACCAAGGCATAAAGTGGGATTGGTGTATAGTCAAATACAAGTTATTACAAAGTTGTCATTGGCTGAAAATGTGCAAATCGAACACAATAAAAAGTGGGATTAGTGTATGATTTCTGCATAACATGATTCTGTACTGGTATTCACTCAAGCGTATTAAACCTTCTATCAGCTAAAACTTGGCAATCAACACTGATGCTTAAAGGCTATTGCTTTGTGTACAGCATTATAAACTTTGTATTCATTGAACCTTACTAGTTGAACATATTAAAGCCTAATGCTTTTTATAAATGAGAATATTACTTTTAATTAAAATAGAGGTACGATATCACATAAAGGTAGATGGAAGTTTTATTTCAAAGGATGAATTTTAGTAAGCGTCCCATATTGTGACGTCATAGAGTTTGAAAAATAGAATCTGTTGACAGCGACCTTTTTTGCTCATTTTTTGTTACCTTCAACTTTTCAGGTGAACAGTAAACAAAAAATACGAGATCAATTTTTAATAAATCATACATGATTATTTTGCTCTTAAACTCTAGTTTATAAATAAAAAGTTGATTTTGTTCGCAAAAGTATGTGTTTTCTGTTGTATGTGGAAAAGTGGAGGACGAAAGGTTTTCAAAATTCATTAAAATAGGGCTAATTTACGCCATTCGCCTATTTTCAAGCACAGCAACACGTATATTTATTTCACCTAAAATATCAATTGATTCGTGTTTTATGATGCTCCTATCCCATTGTTAATACATATACGATATCAGAGTTATTCGCCTTAAACATTCTGTGGTGTTAAAAAGCGAAAATGTGTAACAATGCGTGCGCGACCTTTTTGCGACACGTCTATATAGTTCTCAACTTAACTATGCATGTTCGACTTCCTTTTCAGGTTTGAAAGCAAATCAATCATTCTTATTTTACAAGGATACATTCCAATCGTCAAATTATGTGCATTGATTTTAAATTGATTACAATGTGAACTGTTACACACGTGAATAAATATAAACGTCCATAAAATTTACCTTTGATCGACCAACGCCTCTCCTCACCGGTGGATTAACAATATCCCCTTCGAAGAGAGCTGAAATTAGTAATAGATGGATTTCATCACGGGATGTCATCGCCTAATTTGATCAATGTGGCGGAGCAGGTTGACCAAATTAGGCGATGAAATTCTGCGCTCATACCGTTCAAAATATTGAAATTATATTCCTATGTTCGGTACAATAAAATTAAGAGAATTCTATTTACGGGTAAGTTACATATGACGTGTAAAAAAAGCCAAAATATTGACTGAAAATAAGAAATATCATTGCCTTTCCCCTCACTTAACACGTTAAAAACAGGAGTATGTGTTTATACATTGGTGAATCGACATGTCAATTTAATTTCACACGGACTATGTTTACTTGCACGTGTCTTTATTTCATGCGGACTATGCATGTTTACTTGCACGTGTCTTTATTTCATACGGACTATGTTTGCTTACACATGTCTTTATTTCATACGGACTATGTTTACTTACACGTGTCTTTATTTCATGCGGACTATGTTTGCTTACACGTGTCTTTATTTCATATAACGGACTATGTTTACTTACACTTGTCATTATTATTCTCCTCTGGATCTGGAAATATAAACGATATAAATAAGCAAAACGCATAAATGCACGAGAGAAGATGTATTCGTGCTGATATACAGGGTGGGCCAAAATGCCACTTTTTAACAATGTTAACTTTTTAAATTCTTGATCCAAAAATCATACTTTGCATACCAAATGAAATAGGAAGTTAATTTTGAATGAAATAACCATGTCACAAGCGTCTCACTAACGAGGAATAAACATTATTTGCATAAAGTCTGGGAAAATTTGAAATTTCTTGCAAAAATATTTTGATTTTAAAATGTTTCAATTGGAAATATAAATATGTCACAGACAAATGCATCATAGAATGACTATAGATGGAACAAAGATATAGTGCAAATAAAACAAAACAACGATTTCCAAGTAAAAATTAGACTGTTCAGTCAAGCCAAGTAACTAAGTCAACATTCGAAAATAAAAATCTCAAAAATCGTACATCTTTGATTTCCAAAATAATTTGTGAGGTGGTTATTAAGATGATAATACATCTTTTAACGTATTAATTTTGAGTACATCTTGAATCCATTCTCAACAAAGCGTTGTCGAAATAAGGATTCGAAATATTTGAGTTCGGGATGATAAAAGTACGTTAAGATATACCGCTCCTTAACAAACTCCTTTGGGAACAAGATATAGAATCAAATGCATATTCTTCTTATTTACTCCCTGACACATGCAAACGAATGTTGCATAAGTTAATATCTCCGTTTTAAATAATTTTGTAAACGTTGTTCTCTACAGGTGCCATTTTTTATAATTGAAAAACAAAATTGAACATTTTGCATTTCTAAATTGATAAGTTTCTTGGAATACAACTTAACTGTTAACGATTTAAGTCATTAATAATATTTCCCTCAGTGATCCCATGCTAAATAGACAGTAACTAGGTTATTATTTTGTGTTCAACCTTGTTTTCATGACTTTTAAACATGAGTCGACAATTATGTAGGAAATTTCAATTCCAAATGTAAGCGTCTCAACTCCTGTTTTTGCACAAAATTTAGCCTTTTATAAAGATAGATCGCCAAAATCTGCATGTACCTCTCTATGAAGCGACACGTTTTTAAATTTATAGATGCTGAGCTATAAACTCAGACAAAAATTCAAACCACCCGCTATTATTTTGATTACACTAGACGAAATTTCCACTCCCGGGGAGCACTGTGGTAACACTTTGAAGGAGGATTCTTGAAAAATCGTTCGAATTTTCACAAAAGGTTTCACGCAATTTTATTGCTTTGATTAAGCCTCAACTAAAATCATACTCAAATCACAAAAAATGAAACATTAAACTCAGGTCAGGTTATATGATAAACCGTTTCGAGAATTGATGATTTGAGTTAACTGTGTATATTTAAATAAATGTAAGTCGGCATGTATTCGACAGTTAAGGTAGACACATGATGTATGCATCCACGTGTGACTTAAATATCGATTCATGACTATCATTTTTGGCTTTCAAAAATTAAGTTGGAAGTTACAGTGGTTGGAGATTAACGAAAACGTCAATCAAATCCGAATATCCTAACGACGTCAAGTATTAACAATACCCTTTCTGTGCATCTCGAACAAGGCAAGGTTCTGTGATCCAGGAATGTGCATTTCGAAAGAAAAAATTCACAAATATCAACAAATTACATTGAGTTGGATATTACATTCGAAATCACAACTTTCGAAATGTTTGTTTTAAATAAGAATTGTAAGAACTTAAAACATGTTGTTAGTTTTTCAAACCGCATACCCTCATTTACGTTCTTTGACAAGGATGAATTCATTAGAAAACATGTATTTTGTTGATTATTCTTCAAAACTACCCTTGAGAAATAAGTATGTGGGATATTACAGTGTAAATTGACACGCATTTGTTTCCTCCATATCATGAGAAAATAAATGCAGTACCATCTTTCAATATTTGGAAACAAAAAGTTCATTCTGTATGTAAACAAGAAAAAATACATTTATGCTTGATTCATAATGAAAAATGACAAATAACATACATCTTTTTAAGTAGGGGTATACAGGGACATAGTGGAAATTCAGAAATTTAGGCCATATCCCAAAGACTGCTTCACCAATATGTAACAGAACATCAAATTTATCATTTACACGTTTGCTGATAGGTTTATTGAAAATAATTAAACAGAGGTTTACTTCAATTGTGGCACCATTCTTAGTTAATACTGATGAACATACGAATATCGAATGTTGACTAAGTTACTTGGCTTGACCGTGTTATCAACATTAAATTAAAGGTTGGGTAGTGGTCGTCCTAAATTAAGTGTAACTGACTGAATAAAGTATCAAAGCTGTCGACGTTCTTGTATATAGTCAGAAGGATCACCCGTTTACTGGGAATTTACCAAAAGAAATAGCCAGAACAATTGGAATACCGTGTTCAAGTATTCGTCGAATCATTGAAAATGGTCGTGGACTCAAAAGTTTCAAGAGAAATTTCAAATTTTGCCCAACTAAAGCTTGCAATCAAGACCAGTTGGAAGAACCTCAGCCAACATTTTATTGATACGCTATATCAGCACGGCGATCGAGATTGAAAACTTTCATCAAATTAAAGATGGTGCTGGACCTACTCGACACCTCTTTTAGAAAAAATATACTCAATGTTGAAGGATCGGAGTCATTGCTTTATTTTCTTCTTAAGATCTAATGGAACTAAATAACTCTTAATAACTTAAAAATCTGATGCATGTAGGTTGAATTATAAAAAATTTAGAGCATCCTAAAGTGGTGTTTTTGGACCTTAAACTTTAAAATAATAGGTTTCTTTTGTAATTTCCGAATATACGAATATATTGAATATATAAAACGATCAATTATAAAACTTTTCATAACTAGCTAGAATTCTTGGACTTCGAGATTTCATCTTCGATTATTAGATCTGATATCTGGACTTGTCAACTTTTCGAGAACTTGCTGAAATTCTTGGACTTAGAAATTTTATCATAAATTATTGGATCTGACTTATAGACTTTTACAGCAATTTTACAGCAATAAAGTTATATCTAAACAAGTCTGAGTTAGTTTAATCTTTAGAGTAAATGACTATTATCAATCAAAGTTCAAATATATATTACAAATAGAACTTCATTAAAACAACAAAGATCTAATTAAAAGTCATTTCATAGTTACCTCTGCCCTCTGTGAATAATTTATATTGCTAAAATGGTGTACTTCACTCGAACCTATCGAGTTTCTAACAAGACTTTTTTAAATAAAATAGTTTCAGAAGATTAAAATAATGTGTTAAACTATATTTACCTCTGCCCTCTGTGAATAGTTTATATTGCTGTAATGTTGTGTATGAAGGAAATTATAAGTAATTGAATCAAAAATGGTGTACTTCACTCGAACCTATCGAATTTCTAACACTACTTTTTAAATGAAATAGTTTTAGGAGATTAAAATAATGTGTAAAACTATATTTGCCTCTGCCCTCTGTGAATAGTTTATATTGCTGTAATGTTGTGTATGAAGGAAATAAGTAATTGAATTAAAAATGGTGTACTTCACTCGAACCTATTGAGTTTCTAACAAGACTTTTTTAAATAAAATAGTTTCAGAAGATTAAAATAATGTGTAAAACTATATTTGCCTCTGCCCTCTGTGAATAGTTTATATTGCTGTAATGTTGTGTATGAAGGAAATAAGTAATTGAATCAAAAATGGTGTACTTCACTCGAACCTATTGAGTTTCTAACTAGACTTTTCTAAATCAAATACTTTAGGAAGATGAAAATAAATAGTTATGAAGGGTATTTACTTCCTCTTCTCCCAGTTTCCTCGCCACCGATCTGAAAATAACAAAAAACATTAGTTTGCATATTACAGTAGATACTTCTAGGTTGTCATTTTCGAATTGGTGATCCTCGAATATTCAGAATAGTCTTTTTTAGCAAGAAAGGTTCTAAGACCTTTGAAGGTAAAAATACTTTATTTATTGAAAGAAATGTATATATATAGAAATTCACAAATAGAAATCATCAATTTCATAAAATCAACTAAGGAGGAGGGAAGTTAGCGCAACAGATTTTGGACAGTCATATGCTTGATTTTGGCCATTTCCTGGGGATTTAAACAGTTACATATGTTAGGCCAATGCATTACCTCCAGGAAAATCACTTCTAGAGATGATAAAATAATTTCGACTTTGAGACAGCGTAGATGCAAACAACCCACCCACATGTTTTTTCTGAAATGTTTTCCTGATTTTCAACCCCTTCCATCCTTGCTTTTTTAATTTTTCTTGCATCAATACGTTGCGTTTTGACACACAGTTAATCCCTTAAAAGGAATAAATGATTCCTTTTAGATAAAGTGGAAAACAATATTTCCCATGTTATTTTCCCATAGGAAAAATCATTGCTTTCAGCTAAGTTTGGTCACCCATAATGGGTATCTTTAAAACCCTTTAAGGAATCACTTATTCCTTTAAAGTGGTTAACTATGTGTCAAAATGCAACATATTGGCCTAACATATGCAATTGTTTAAAGCCTCAGAAAATGGCCAAAATCAAACATATGACTGTTCAGAATCTGTTGCGCTAATGTCCCTCCTCCTTTGACATTTCTAAACTATAAGCCACAAAAACACAGTGTTTTCGCATAACGATGGCCAGCCTTCTGGTGATCGATTTTCGAAAGATATTTTGTTTTCCAATTTCTTGGACGAGTTTCTCACTAATCGTAACGTGCAGTTAGGGCACGATCTATAATTTTTAAAAATGTTCTTGGTATACATTTAGCATCATCAAGAAGCGGGAAATTCACGGTTTTAGTTCTTCGCTTTTGATGCAAAAACACCACACCGTTCTACAGTCCAATGATGCAAAAACACCAATTTATGGTAGAAATGGATTACATATTAGATGAAAAGACGACGAGCATTATATAAATCGCACCACTTTGACCTGAAATGTACGCGTCTCATTGTGCAAAAATGATACTTTCATCTTGATAAAACACAGTGTTTTTGCATCACGATACTCCCCAATCACGGTGACCAAGAGTTAACAGTGCAAATTGGCCCGGTCGTGTTTTTTTCAAACTCTTTAGTCGTGTTTTTTTGAAAATTTGAGAGGTGGGTTGATAAATTTGGTCATGAAATTGCTGTCACTTGACTTTATGTAAAAGTAAGTAATTTATATTCCTTTCCATACTATATATTTTAACTTCAGGTATCCGTAAACGTGTTATTTGCACGAATCGTATGCTATAGTCGTGTTATATCGGAAAGTGAGCAATTCTGTCAGTCTTATACATATTTTTGCCTGAAAATCACTAGCCTGAATTGTATTCAATAAATACATCGATTCATAAGGAAAGCATTCACAATATGTGCGAAAACCACAAGTTAGAAGAGCTTAGATAAGTAGCAATTGACCGAATAATATTTTTTAGATTAAACTCTTTCGACGTGTTCAAAAGATTGCGGTTAATGACGTTGACTTGTTACTGGAAACATTTAGACGTTCTATTGGCCCTAAACTCACTTTCCCCTGTCATGACCGTAAATAGATTTATTTAAAATGAGAGAAAATGTTTAGTTTGTGATGCACTACATGTAAATGCATATATATGATCACCTAATATAAGGAATAACTCCACCGTTATTTAGTGCTCAAAATCTATTAGGTTCGCCTCGGGATTTTTAACAATTTGATTCGATGTTATTCCCTAATTTGCCTCACACAATGCAATAGGTATAAAACGCTACATATGCTACTATGGTTCTATGAGTGACCTATGAACTGTACTTTCTACATTTACGGTCATTTATGGCAATTTTAAGATAAATACAGTTAAAATATTTACACGATCTTTAGACTAGTGAATATTATTCCACGTTGTTGAATGGATTGTCTGTTTAAACTTGATTAAATAACGCTAAATGAAAATTAAGTACATATTTCTGGCACTTTTGGTATACAAAATATAATTGCGATTGATATGAAGTATGATGGATTTATCCCCAAAATAGATTCGTGGGTATGAAGAAGAACATCTTAGGTAGAAGTCAAGATATGTAAGTTTGTAAAATATAGAATATTCTTATCTTTTTGCTCCATTCTAACGAATGTCGCATCCCATGTTCTTAAAAAACACGACTAAAGAGTTTAAAAAAACACGACCGGGCCAATTTGCACTGTTAACTCTTGGTCACCGTGCCAATGATAAGAATAGACAGAATCAGTTTTACTTTTATAATTTTTGAGAAAGCGTAATTAACTGAATTAAGAAAGGCTACAAACCACTCCCGTTGACTTTGAAAAGAATTATGTATTTAATCATACTTGATTGGTATTATATTAATTCTAATAATTTCATCTAATTAATAATCAGTGACGTACACATTACTTAAACCTTTAAACAGCGTTTTCCTGCCTTGGACATTGTATTTGAAAAATATATTGCATTTGGTATCTAATTATCACAATTACGTCATGCTCTTATGAACCCTAATTTTATGAATAATTACTTACCGGTATTTCTATACACGTTGTTAATGCACACTTGTATCTTTTATTCTGTTTGATATATATATGTAATACAAAAAACTAACCGATGTTAATGAGGCCACTGTAGTACAGTTGATCATTTTGTTTAAGTAGAAACAAAGATTAGAAAGAAGCCGTTACTATGTGAAATATTGTTTACCGTTTCCGTATAAAATGTTTCATTTTTTTCTCAAGATCCGGACAGTGAATTTTCTTAGATATTTTTTATAAATACCATTGTTGCCCCACAGAATGATCACACTTTTTAAGAGAATCTGAGTTGTGCACTTATTTAAATAATAAAAGGAATGCATTTCCAATTAAAAGCCATGTTAAATTAAGATATTTTTCTAGAAATAACCAGACGGCCAATCTTTTTTATTTTCACTCCAATTTAATCCGAATGGTAGAAAAAAGTCTATCGACTGTGAAGTTCTACCTTAAACTAATACCAATTTCGATCATTTTGGAACACTTTGAAATCCACTCAACATTTCTCAAAATTTTGATGCAAAAACACCACACCGTTCTACAGTCCAATGATGCAAAAACACCAATTTATGGTAGAAATGGATTACATATTAGATGAAAAGACGACGAGCATTATATAAATCGCACCACTTTGACCTGAAATGTACGCGTCTCATTGTGCAAAAATGATACTTTCATCTTGATAAAACACAGTGTTTTTGCATCACGATACTCCCCAATCACGGTGACCAAGAGTTAACAGTGCAAATTGGCCCGGTCGTGTTTTTTTCAAACTCTTTAGTCGTGTTTTTTTGAAAATTTGAGAGGTGGGTTGATAAATTTGGTCATGAAATTGCTGTCACTTGACTTTATGTAAAAGTAAGTAATTTATATTCCTTTCCATACTATATATTTTAACTTCAGGTATCCGTAAACGTGTTATTTGCACGAATCGTATGCTATAGTCGTGTTATATCGGAAAGTGAGCAATTCTGTCAGTCTTATACATATTTTTGCCTGAAAATCACTAGCCTGAATTGTATTCAATAAATACATCGATTCATAAGGAAAGCATTCACAATATGTGCGAAAACCACAAGTTAGAAGAGCTTAGATAAGTAGCAATTGACCGAATAATATTTTTTAGATTAAACTCTTTCGACGTGTTCAAAAGATTGCGGTTAATGACGTTGACTTGTTACTGGAAACATTTAGACGTCCTATTGGCCCTAAACTCACTTTCCCCTGTCATGACCGTAAATAGATTTATTTAAAATGAGAGAAAATGTTTAGTTTGTGATGCACTACATGTAAATGCATATATATGATCACCTAATATAAGGAATAACTCCACCGTTATTTAGTGCTCAAAATCTATTAGGTTCGCCTCGGGATTTTTAACAATTTGATTCGATGTTATTCCCTAATTTGCCTCACACAATGCAATAGGTATAAAACGCTACATATGCTACTATGGTTCTATGAGTGACCTATGAACTGTACTGTAATATACTTTGCTAGCGAATTAAATTACAACATCTGGTGATCTTGTTAAATCATACATCTGTCTTTTTTATTTATTCTTATTTATTAATATCTTTACTACAAATTACAGTAAACGGGTGACACCTAATGTATATATCCCCGTGTTTTATAATAATGTACATGAACAGATGGCGGGGGATCTGCTTGTGTAATAATGCATACTATTTGTTTTTGGTTAATAGTGTGTGTCGTATTAGGCCCGCAAATTATTATAAAACCAACATAAACTATAAATTATATTATTGATTGAGAAGATACTTTTTGAGTTATAACTTCTAGCAGAAATACGAGATAGTAAGAATTTAGTTTTTCAATTTATTTTAGTACTAAGTTTAAAAAGCAAACAATTGTAACTAGTTCAAGGAACGTGTTCTTATCGGCGCTTTTGAAAGCACACACGTGACACTTATTCCGAGGAACTGAAATAACAAAATATGTGAATAGTCAATAGTCATGTAGTACAAACACTCATCTTCAAAATACTAATGCGATTATTTTCAGAAGCACAGACAAATTATTAAGCAACAAAACATGTGAAATTTGAACACTATTACATTACAAGACAATTCAAAGTAGTTAATTTTATCACGTCTAAAACGTTATCTTTACAATTCCAAAACGTTAACATGCTTATTATAAGACACGTCCATGACGTTATGTTGTCCCTTCTCCATAGTTAACTCCACTTTCTACATTTACGGTCATTTATGGCAATTTTAAGATAAATACAGTTAAAATATTTACACGATCTTTAGACTAATGAATATTATTCCACGTTGTTGAATGGATTGTCTGTTTAAACTTGATTAAATAACGCTAAATGAAAATTAAGTACATATTTCTGGCACTTTTGGTATATAATTGCGATTGATATGAAGTATGATGGATTTATCCCCAAAATAGATTCGTGGGTATGAAGAAGAACATCTTAGGTAGAAGTCAAGATATGTAAGTTTGTAAAATATAGAATATTCTTATCTTTTTGCTCCATTCTAACGAATGTCGCATCCCATGTTCTTAAAAAACACGACTAAAGAGTTTGAAAAAACACGACCGGGCCAATTTGCACTGTTAACTCTTGGTCACCGTGCCAATGATAAGAATAGACAGAATCAGTTTTACTTTTATAATTTTTGAGAAAGCGTAATTAACTGAATTAAGAAAGGCTACAAACCACTCCCGTTGACTTTGACAAGAATTATGTATTTAATCATACTTGATTGGTATTATATTAATTCTAATCATTTCATCTAATTAATAATCAGTGACGTACACATTACTTAAACCTTTAAACAGCGTTTTCCTGCCTTGGACATTGTATTTGAAAAATATATTGCATTTGGTATCTAATTATCACAATTACGTCATTACTCTTTATGAACCCTAATTTTATGAATAATTACTTACCGGTATTTCTATACACGTTGTTAATGCACACTTGTATCTTTTATTCTGTTTGATGTGTATCTGTAATACAAAAAACTAACCGATGTCAATGAGGCCATTGTAGTACAGTTGATCATTTTGTTTAAGTAGAAACAAAGATTAGAAAGAAGCCGTTACTATGTGAAATATTGTTCACCGTTTCGGTCTAAATGTTTCATTATTTTTTTCTCAAGATCCGGACAGTGAATTTTCTTAGATATTTTTTATAAATACCATTGTTGCCCCACAGAATGATCACACTTTTTTAGAGAATCTGAGTTGTGCACTTATTTAATTAATAAAAGGAATGCATTTCCAATTAAAAGCCGTGTTAAATTAAGATATTTTTCTAGAAATAACCAGACGGCCAATCTTTTTTATTTTCACTCCAATTTAATCCGAATGGTAGAAAAAAGTCTATCGACTGTGAAGTTCTACCTTAAACTAATACCAATTTCGATCATTTTGGAACACTTTGAAATCCACTCAACATTTCTCAAAATCCGTAAGAGTAATAAAAACGGAGAAGCTCACTCAAAAGCTCTCTTTCTGAGCTACACCCTGGAAAAATCAAGAAAATAAAGAAACCGTGACAAAGATAATTGACATATTGTAACTTTGACCTAGATTTTAACCTTTGACCTAGATAAAAATTGACTTAATTTCCGAGTGATGATCATATAAAAAATAATCATTTTAGTTGCTGAGAGAACGTGCTAAGTTAAGAATAAGAAGAATACAGGCAAAAGCAAAATACTTCAGATTTTCAATCTGGAGTCTAATAAATTATTAATAGAATTATTACAATTTTAAGGCATATTTAGATTATTGCTTCAAAATGAATACTGATTTTAACAGTATAAATGTGAGTGAATGGGTAATGGAGTGACTTGTATGATGTTTCGCATATATGTATACATTTTAAATTTGATGAATAATAAAAAATCTGGAGTCTAATAATGGTCCTGGATTAGTCACAGCTTTCTTTTTACAATAATCGTATATATGTATGTATATTTTGAAATAAATCTGTTAAGAGCTTCTATTCTTCTTCAGAATAATACTACATCGAGTGTCTATGTTGTGTCCACGAATTAATAATTAATTGCACAAGTTCTGATACGTAATTATTAATTTAGAAATTCTTTTTTTCTCAATTCTTTTTTCAATATACAATATATTAAACACCTCGTTCTATTTAGCTTTGATTACTTCGTGAGTAGAAAAATTTAATTAAAATACAAAATATGAAGAAGGTATTATTTTTCATGAAAAACCTTACCTTGTTTATTGATTTGGCCTTCCCAATGTTCGAACAGAACAATGCAAACGCAGTTGCTATTAGAAATAGATGGATCAAACCCGAACTATTTCTTTCAGCCATCGTTTCCTTCACCGGGTCAAATAGGATAAATCTTGTGAATGCTTTCTTATATACAGGCTAATGCCCAAAGATATATACAAAGTGACATTATTACATTTACATAAATTGCTAATCGATGTAGATTTACAAGGGCCGATCCAGAAATCCTGATAAAATGCTCCAACTTAAAAGTTTATCATTCATTTTTCATAATAATTTCAGAGTAACTTGGTGATTCATCTCCACATAAGTTATAAAAATTTAGATGTTTGGTACAAATATTCCTGAAGTTATGGTTTATGGTAACCTCAATAACGCCATAGCGGGACAGGGTAATGTTTGCGAAGTTTAAAATCAATTTTTTTTGAATAAATGATCAAAATCCAATAACAAGGTTGCTCAATTCTACAAATGGCTGTTCAGTAACTGGTCCTATTCTCATAAGTGTGAAATCATTGTAAATCTTGTATCTTACAGAAAATATTAACGCCTTGTGATACATTAGACAATACATGAGACAATAAGCTTTCTAGTCACCTACGCAAAGCAATGCGTAAAAAAGCGACCGAACAGAGCCATAGATTCAAACATCTTAAACTGGGACAACACAGCATGTCACACATCTGGCATGGTGTACAATATTATCAGCAACTCGTTAATATGGAAGTAATAAGGACATTCTCCATATTCCCCTGATAAAGCTCCCGTTTGTTGTGTTTGGACTTTATACCAGCCATAATATTTTAGAACATTTGTTGAAATCAAGAATGCTGCTGACACCCGAGTAGGACTGCAACATGTGTACAAATAGTTGATGGATAGATATCAGAAAGTATTAATGCAGTGCCTTATGCAGAAGGGCATTAGTTTGAGTATCTTCATTGAGCTTTATCTCAAATGGATTTCACAATTGGATTGAGTTTTTCCAAATTTTCAATATAAGTTATGACGTTAATATGAGCTCAAGTCCTGAACCAAGTGCCTGTACCATGGGGTAGGAAACTTGCTATTAGAGAATTTTCTGTTGATCCATCATTCTGAAAAGTCCCTGCTGTATAGGTACATAAATTGTCTAAAATTTCAAGACTTAGTGATTTCTTACTATATTTGCACATAGCCATCTTTTGGATAGATGGCTATGCAAAACTCGATATTCCCAGTCCTTTATAAAGGTCTTTTGGAAATATGTAAGAAATCTTGGAAATATTTACCCAACTTCAATGGATGCATAACATTCTAAAATAAAGTTTTTCTAACCATATCGGGCTAACCGGAATCGGGAGACAGCGTAATTGACGAAAAATGTTGAATAGTCGATAATTTCCAAGATGGCTTCTCAGGAAGTTTGGTAATGCGCATGCGCCTCCATGCCATGAGATTTCCGGTTACACGCATGCGCATTGGCAAGACTTCCTGGTCAGACGACATGGAAATAACAAGTTCCAAATACATTTTTTCGTCGATTACACTGTCTCCCGACTCCTACTAGCGTTTTACGAATATTAAACCGATATTGTATGATGTTATACATCGATTGAAGTAGTGTAAGTGTTCCAACGATTTCTTACATTTCTGTAAAAGACCTTTAACATGGACTTGGTTTGTCAAAATATGCAAAGCTATCTCCCAAGTGATAGCTTTGTGCAAACTAAGTAAGTGATTTCCTTTACTTTTTTATCAGAACTTCTGGATCGGCCTTTGTATTAAACTAAAATTAATGCGGTCAATGAGTTATATTTGTGGTGAAAATAAATAGTTAATATCCTCGATTGAACACATCATGCCTTATGCAATAAATCGTTGCATTTATCATATTCATATAAATACACATAAGGATCTAAGAACTCTTATTAATCATGACAACTCTGATTTAGACAATTTTGAGGAATACGGCGACGTGCAAATAAACTATCGCTTAATATCAAGGTGTTATAGCATGACGGTTACGACACCTCTGAAAACGAGATTAGACGACTACGATCACTGATTTATCTAATAAAATGGCCGCGATGGAACAGAAAACTAAGGTTGGTGCATTATTTTTTTCTACTGTGTATCAATGAAAGGATGAACGATTTTTGTAGACATCGCATTCGGTGATGCATTTAGTAATGTATATTTGTACGTATTCTTTGCAAACTAATGCCCGGGAATAACATGAAATAAGGGAAAAACTGTTGAGTTTGAAATTCAAAACCTACACAGAATTTAGCAATTTGTTTATTTTTGCCTAACGACCTCGGGGTATATATATGTAACCTACATACGATCATAAAAAGCCAATTGAGCAATTGATTGACGGTTATGCGAACCTCGTTCAAATATGTATCCCAGATTCATTCTTATTAGTTTTGTCATATTCATCAATACTTGATGCTAATTCTTCTTTTGCCTCTTTATTGCAATCTTTTTGACTTAAATTGGTTTCATTAATAAAGCAAGACACAATTATTTCCTTGCCCAATAGAGGCTCAAACAAGAGCGTCTCTTGCGAGTCCTGAAAACAAATATAAGCAATTCAATATTCCATTTCTTACCCATTATAACAATTACATGGAAAGAGGCTATCAGAACTAGCAACCTTAACTTGAAAGATGTACATGCACGTAACCGTCCGCTAAATATCTAATGTACATCTAATACAATACGTTACCGTCCATAGAATTCATACGTAGTCGTCTAACGACATTGCGTTTGAAACCTTATATTATTTACAATATGACCACGTTCCTGTTCTGGATTTGTCATTTTATGGCTTGTTTATACACAATTTACTTATTGTTAATAATTTGAGTGGCTCTGAGGCACATATACTGAGAAATCACGAGAATGGACTAAAAATATGAACTTGGACATCTCAGTCGGTAAGTTTACAGCTTATATTCCGCTTCTAGTAAACCACCTGGCAGATTTGACCCAGTCTTTATAATCATCCATATATACGTCACCGAATGGAACTAGTTAAAGAGGAACTCTTATCTGTGAATCTGGCCTACAGGCGAGAAAGAGGACATGCTGTCTTTCCCATCCGCCATTTTTTTGTTTTCGTTACCGCAAAATTTTGCAAATCGCCTTGACGCAACCGTCATGCTATAACACCGTTAGTATAGAAAAATCTAAATTCATGATCTTTTTTATTTAAAAACATTTGAAATAAAAATGCTAAATATTAAAATTAGAAATATACCTATTGAGAGAATCTTAAAGACTACTTTCCTTGAAGTGTTATTATCGATGACATAAATGTAAGCTCATGGACAACATCCTCCTAAGCAGGTGTCTAGAATCCGAAAGAAAGAAGATATTCTGGATTTTGAAGCCCTGTGATCGGAGGATGATGGACAACGGACATGTTAAAGATTCAATCTTAGATCTAGTCAATCTAAATCCACATTAGGACAACGAAGCATTAAATACATAGGACAGACAACATGGAAATAATTATCTGAAACATTTAGAGATCTAAATTATACAAAAATGAAACAGATTTGAAACAGTATTATCTTGACAAGTATTAAATTGAACCGCAAAATATTTAGTCAAATGAACTTAATAATATAGTAGCCCGAACAGAATTGCTCAATGGTCACCGTTTCCTAAATAACTATTTTAATTCTCAGTATTATCAAAATCCGATTACATATTTGAAAACTACAGAAAAATCGGACATACATTTCTTAATTTATTAATATCAATGTCATAGGCGTTCATAGTATGAGTGACGCAGATACATAATTCACCATTTATAAATAACATAACAATCAAATAGAGATAATGACATACATGTTTATGATTTATGAAGGCATACAGATAAACATATTTACATAAAACAAAACTAAATAAAATAACCGAATATTTACTTTACGCGAGGACCTGACTCTAGAGGTGTCAAGTATTAACCGGTTAACCGGTTAATCGCCGATAATGCCTTGACCGGTCTGTGTTTTTATGGGTGGTTAGTTGACCGTGTATAATTCTGTTATTTCTCGCGCTTATATTGCATGCTAATCCGTTTGGTTTTAACGTGTCAGTTTCACGTAAGCTACTCATACGTGTCATAAGTCCGATAACTCCGTACAAACATCCAATCAGCAACTTCAATCCCTGCGCCAAAACAATTTCATAAATAAATTATATGCATTTTTTAATTCGTCAGTTTTGTTATTATTGTTGTCTATCAACGTCGCCAAAATGTCAAAGGTCAAAGCCTCGCTTTGGTAGTGAGAAAATTAAAATAAACACTAATCAGCTGCAATTCTTGTTGTTATGGTGCATTCGTGGAGATATTAAGGGTAAACCAGTGTGGTAAGTAATTTAGAGGTACTGGTAGTCAGGTAGTGTATGAATAGAATACAGTAAAGCTTGACGACAGTAAAAAATAAACGCCGATATATCATTTTCCAATTTTTTCAACTTTCAAGATCGAAGATGAAGATTTCATTTAAAATTATCAGTTCAAATTTCCCGCCGGTTAACCGACTTTAACCGGTAAAAACACTCGGTTAACCGGTTAATGCTCAAGCAATTAATTGACACCACTACCTGACTTCCAAGACGAATAGTGCGGTAGATAGCCCCACGATGACTTAAGGGGTATATGACTCCCGACCATGCTTGGTAGATCACGAAGACCTGACTCCCAAGACGAATAGTGCGGTAGATAGCCCCATGGAGAGATCTCCCGCAAAGTACGGAAGATGGGTAATTTAGACATAAAATACTGCCGAAAAATGAGAGTGTGAAATTACTTGGGGGTTAGAACGAAGTAATGAGTGTGAATACCATATCATTTTTCCATTTTGAAGTTTATAACAGTAAAATAATGGTGACACATTGCAATGAATTGAAAAAATGGGAGCCCCAAGTTCATTATTTTGTCTCTTATTTGTATGTCATAGACCTATGAAGTCATGTAGACTGCTGCTTTGGTATGAGGTAATGACTGCATAACCAATCTGTTTTAAATTGATTTGTATGTATACTTGAAAAAGTTCATACAGTGTATATATACAGTATATTGG